TATATATTCTGGCCAGTCAACAAAAATTGTACCACTTTTAACACTTCATAGAGCTACAATTAACATTTGTGCTTTAGCAAAGTTACCCCGTGCAGCCTGCAACTTCGGAGGTCATAAGCAAATGAATTTACAGTCTTGTACATCCTAAATCAACACATGAAATAATTAGAACACCATAAAATGCAAATTTACAGAATATTACAAAACAAATAGTATAATAAAATACCTTGTTCAGCAAGCAGATTAACCAAGCTGCTACAGATGATTCGATCAAAGTCTTATGCACATTCTTCGGCAAATGCAGGTCTCACAATCCTTTATAAATGCACTTAAACCTCATGATATTAGCGGTATAACAAAAAAATGCCCTTTGCATCAAATGAAAACCCTTTTTGAACAAGATAATAGCATCATTTTGTCAACATAATTTTTAATGTGAACTACAACAATTTACAAAAAAAATATTTAACTTTTGTAGCCAAATATTTATTTCCTTTATTTAGAGCCATTTCAGTGACACTTACATATAGTATACATAAATTTAATGTCCATAACAGTTATTTAGGTAATCAGCATTTGTAAATACACAATATTCATCAAATATAGTTCATATTAAAATCTTAAAGCAGGAGATTCCTGTGGGTGTTGGAGTCTAAAAGTTCCATGTTGTGACTTTAATTAAAAAAAAACCTTCAGAGGACAGACACACAACCACACAAACAGTTGGTTATGTGACCTGTCTGTGCCCCCTGCCAAGGTCAAAGCTGGAGAGAGGTGAGGAACACACCGAGGGAAGGTGTTACAGATCTTTTGCCCGCACAAGCAGATGCACGCAAACATCCTAAACACATGCCCATGACCTCATGTGATGTACACACTGGACAAAGGTGTATTCAACAGACACTTGTGCTTTTATGTTCACGTCCGTGTGAGCTCAAACACACAAACACCAAGGACACACTCATACACACCAGCCTGCGCAGAGCTCGAGCCAGCATGTAAGTCTCCCAGTCTCTCCATCTGTCCATGGACTGGAAAGTCCCATAACTACACACACACACATATACAGACACACACAGCCATTTTGCTCACAGTGTTTTTTCTGCCAGCTCTTTGTCAGGTTGTTTGGCAGAAAGGAGCGAGCTGCAGACTTATAAAGATGTGACAAAATAGCGTGAAAAAAGTAGATTTTTGATTGAAAAGTCAGACAAAAATAAAGACGCTTGTCCTGAAAAAATAAGAAAACGAGCAGATCTTTACTCCACGTGTGAAATTTGTTTTCTGAAACTCTTCTGAGAGCTCTTCCCCACACAAACATACCCATATGGCTGGTGCAGTCTCCAGAGGATGGCGGTCCCTCCAGCATCCGAGTGACCTTCTAGATAGCCTCAGTGCTGCGATGACCTTCCCTTCCAAATAATTACAACAATTAATCAATTAAATGCTGAGGCAACCACAACTCCACAGCTCTATAACTGGGACTCGCATGCATGTGTGTGCACCTCATTACCTTCGCAGCCCAACACAACACAAAGGCTCACTTACATTTTTGCACACACACAAACAACAACAACAAAAAACAACAATCCTGTCTGTGAATGCCACGGGCGACACAGGCGCGAGCATTAGGGTGTGGCACGCCCCGTCTCAGGTGGTGCAGGAGAATGATGACTGCTGACAACTCGCAGGGAGAGAGCCTCCACAAAAATATGCCCCATCCCCCTTCTCTCCATCCCCACTGTCACCCCCCTCCCTCCCATCCTCTTTTCTCCTCCTTCTCTTCACACCCTCACCCCTTTGTCAGTCTCTACCATGCWGGCTGATGAGCCAGTAATAGCAGCAGCAGCACCTGTCTGGATAGTTTGACATTAATAATAATCACTAGGTGAGCTGCTTGTTTTCACATATGCCTTTTTTATTTGACTCCTTAGACCATAAAGGAAATGTAGACATCCAACAGAAAACTATTAGCTGAAGCTAGAATGATTCCAGCATCCGAGTAGGCTGGTTCTTGTACAAGTTTTAAGCCCCGCCCCTTCCATATAAGCAAACCGAACTCTTAGGTTTTATGTGTAGATAGAGGTTTTTAAATTGAGTACGCTCAAATAATAACAAAATATGAAACTACTTATGACAACATGTCCCTAAACTTTTTTTAATGGAAGTTGGAATTTCATGGAATATTACTGCTTTGATTTTACAGAGTGCTGTTAAAGGGGCGATATTATTGAAAATAAACTTTTTTTGAGTTTTATATCATGTTATAATGATATCTTCTCATCAAAAACACGCCCAAAGTCTTGCTTTGACTCATTCAGGTGTGTTTGAGAAATCCTGTAGTGTCCTGAGGCAGCTAGGCAGGGGAGCAAAAACAACCGGTTGGGCCTAGAACTGCCTTTTGGGATCAGCTCCTTCACTGGTCTGTAGCTATGTTTACATGCGCAAAATTCTTTGATCGGATTGAAATGTGTTCGGATTAAATAATCAGAATGCAACGTTTACATGGGCACAATCCGATCACGACAAGTGTTTACATGCACCAGGCATTTATTCTGAATAGAAGCACTGACATGCGCAGTTCACTTTTCCTAAAAAAAAAATAAATAAATAAATAAAAAATAAATAAAAAAAACAAACCAGAAAAAAGTTCTACTTTCGTCCTGAACATAAATAAACAGTTTCTGAGCTCAGAATGAACCTGTGACAGATTTTAATAATGGTGGAGACGTTACTGCAGGTGATGCGCAGACTTTTTTATTTTGCGGTCCAGGCAATGTGTCTTCCTTCTTTATTGAATGAGAAAACGGGAGGAAAAGTTCTGTGCTGTTGGAAACTCCCTCCCTCCACAAAATAGCAGAAACCGGTG